ATAATTATTATATTTAGCAAAGTGCATGGTATGTTGTAGGTACTATAAAAATATTTGCTATTATTATTGTTACTGTTATTACACATAGCACAGTGTATGGCATATAGTAGGTGCTGCATACATGCTTATTCTCTTCTTTTCCTCTTCATGAGAACACTGATAAATTAGTAGGAAAATATAATAATTTCCATTGTCAGTGAAGTTTTTCATGTGTGCTTTGGGTGAGGATGCCCTCTCCCCTCCAAGTTTCTTTTTCTTTCTTTTTTCTTTTCTTTTTTCTTTCTTTCTTTTTTTTTTTGGTATAGACCTGTGATTTCATCACTGTTAGAAATTTCTGGTATGGGAACTCTATTCATCACTGCAGTTTGGTAACTTAAGATCCAAAACAACTCTCTCGGTCAATAAGACACTGAATGAATTACTTAATATGAGTCAGAGATAGGATATGAACATAAGTCTTCTTAATTCTGAGGCTAAATGTCTAATCACCAGACCATACTCCCTCCTTTACCCTACAGCGCACAGGTGGAAAAACTGAGTCAGACACATTACATCATTTATCTACAGTAATATAGCAAGTCAGGAACTGACCAGGGAAGAAACCCAATCTCTACATTTTATGTCTAATGCTTTCTCCCCATACAATGCAGCCTCTATACTCCTGTCCTAGCAAAGTAGAATTGAAAAGAAAAAATGATGAGGGATCTATAAACTCAAGAAATTATTTTGCTGCAAGGTCAGTGCACTGGTAACAATGGAATAACAGAATTCAGGTGATGTGGGCTCTAGGTTTATTTACTGTTAACGAGCTGTATAACCTTGGGTAATCACTCACCCTCTGCAAGCCTAAATTTCCTTATTGGTGAAATGGAGATAACAATACCTTTCCCACCTAGCTCACATAGCTTTTATGAAGAAAGTGATTTGTGAGCCTTACGTGCATCTCTGAGATTCCTTCCAGATCCAAATTACTATGCTTTTACTTTCTCACTTGAAGATCAAACTAGATAAAGTTTTTAAAACTAAGCATCATATAAATGTTAACTATTATTCTATTCAATAGTAGTAAAATCTTGGCCAAGTCACTCCCTCTTCAGGGCCTCAGTTTCCACTGTGACCTAGATGATCTAGAAATGTCCCTTCTGACTCTATATCCTATGATTCTATGTACATGTGAATTATGAGTTGAGACCTCAATTTTCTCATTTAGAGAATGAGGAGGCTGGCTTAAACCCTTGCAGATTTAAGATTCTGATTCTACATTTAATGACAAAAGTTAACATTTCTGTATCAAAAACTGATGACACTTTGGGAAGTACAGTGTTTTATTGGTTATTGAGACAAAGTAAGAGAAAAGGTTAGCATTAAATAGGGCAAGAACTTCATTAATCCTTTGCAACTTAGGGGTTCCTGTTGGACCTGGAGTCAGGAAGACTCATCTTTCTGAGTTCAAATCTGGCCCTGTTTGGCCTCATTTGTAAAATGAGCTGGAAAAGGACATGGCAAAACCCTCCAGTATCTTTGCCAAGAAAACTTCAAATGGGGTCGTGAAAAGCCAGACACAACTGAAAAACGACTGAACAAACAACAACCACAACTCTAAGGCAGAATACAGTAGGTAGACTGTCCAGAAAATTGAAATTATACCAAGTTCTATAAACTAGGATATTTGAGGACCATGAAATCATAACTTTAAGATCAGAAATAGAAGAGGTCACCTTTCTGAAACGTACATTCCAGTCACTAGTCTATGTTCTGATAATGCTATTTGGGGCTGTGCTCTAGTGAGGGCTAAACAATCTTTTCTGGAGCAACTTTCTGCCCACATTACACAGGTGTGGATTACTGCTGACACAGCAATCACTCTTATTCTTCCTTCCAGACTATTCCTCATGCTGTTTTGCTGATATATTATGAAAAATTCTGCTGGTGTGTCCTAAGCATCACTCCATACCCTGTGTGTTTCGAGTTGGCTGACATGTTCTAGTAACTTATTTTCCAAGAAAGAAAAAAATGAGATACATAGGAAACAACTGGCTTAGGGTATTTTCTGATTGTTTTATGTCACCAAAAAGCAAAATCAGAGATTAGGAAAACCAGGCAGCTCTGGACTTTATTAAAAATAAAAAAAAAATAACACCATCATCAACATTAAACATTAAGAGCCTACTATGTTCTAGGCACCATACTATGTGCCCAGGTTACAAAGAAAAAATTTAAATAGTCCTTCCCTCAAGGAACTTACATTCCAACCAGGATATATAGCATTTGCATATATGGACATATACAAACTTGATACAATTTTGGAGAGGGCAATAGAAGCTAGAAAGATCAAGATAGATTTCACGTACAAGGTGATGCTTGAGCTAAACCTTGAGAAAATTGGTGATTCTAAGAAGTAAAGCAAGGAGACATGGAGAAGACTGGAAATGAAATATTATGTATGAAGCACAACATGAAACCCAGTTTGGCTTGACCACAGTGTATATAAAAGGGAGTAAGGTGTTAAAAGATTGCAAAGATTGTAAGGAGCCCAGTTGTGAACTGCTTTAGATACCCAAAAGAGAAGTTTAAATTAGTCTTTCAGGTAATAGGGAGCTATAAATGTTTATTGAAGAGGGGAGTGCCACACTAAGACCTTAGTTTGGCAAGTCATTTTGGCAACAGTATGGAAGGTGGATTGGGATGGGGAAAGACTAGAAGCAGAAAGATAAATTAGGGAAATATTCCAATAGTCCAGGCAAAGGGTAATGAGGGTTAGAACTACGATGGTAGCCATGTGATCAGAGGGAAGGAGATAGATGTAAGAAATGTTATGGTAAGACATAAGAATGAAAATGCCTCCAATTCTGCATGCTTTAACATTGTTTCCTCTTTCTACTAGTTTCATAATTTATGATGATAGATTATATCTTTCCAGTTGTTACTTTTATTTAAAAAGTATGATGAATATCTGTAGCACTGGGATTTTGCAATTTTTCTTCTATAAATACAAGTTCAGTTTCTGAGACTTAACTCCTTACACCTTGGTCACCCTGAGGTTTTTCATTTCTCAAATGCATCTTGCCTCCTATCAAATGCAAAGCTTTCAGTCGTGCCAATTACACGGTATGTCCATTTCCAATTAACTCTTCCAAATATGTCCCTCCATAAGATTTGAATTTGGAGGTTCAGTGAATAGATATAAGAAGATTGAATGATTCAGTTAAAATCTACCATGAGAACATTGAGAGTTATAATATATCATTAGACTAAAATCACTGAAAGCTAAGACACCACTGAATGTATAATTCTTAGGATTAATTTTTAATTCAAAATGTATTTTTCATAATTATGAATAGATAACCAACTATAAGAACTCAAGAAGCCAAAGACCATGTACTTCCTAATAAAGCAGCTTATTTCATAATGAAATAAAAAATTGGGAAGTGATCCATGCATGATAAAAAATTAAGTGAAGTAGCTAAAAAATAAAAAGGCTTACCTAAAAACCAGTGACAGGATACTTTTCAAAAATATTTTTAGTTTATTTAAACATTAATTTTTCATTTCAAATTTGTTTCATAAAACTAAAAAATACACAGCTTAGCATTTAATTAGCTTCTTTTTCTTCAAAGGACTTTGTACAATTTAATTAATTTCAACATCATCATAAAGCAATCCATGCAAGATAAAAGATCAAATTTTTTTTAGTAGTATCTTCAACTCAGCCTTACTAACCACTGAGCTACATCTCTACATAAATATGAGGCCAAACTCTGCATGCACTGAATTCAAATGTGTGTGTGTATATGTATGTGTGTGTATGTCTACATACATATATATATTTATACATATATATGTATATGTATGTTTGTGTATTTAGATATATGCTTTTGAATTATATTTAGGCTATTGAGAAATTTTTTATACCTATAATGCACAACAAGAATTAGTTTATCCAAAACAAAAATAGTATTTCTCTCTCAATAGGAAAGTATATTGATTTTTACAAGACCATTTCATCCAAGAACACTTCCAGATAACCCCTATTTCACCATGGTATCATATTCTCACTTAATCATGTACTTGTATAATAATGTCATGTAACAGATCATCAATGATTTGGGTAGTAAAAAACAGTTAAAATCATGATTTCATTCATTTTACACATATTAATTCAGAGGGCAGATCCAGCTCATACCTTCTTTGGAGGACTAGGAAAATTCAGTTACTCTATAAGCTTACAGTATAGTTCTACTTAATATAAATTCATAGCTTGGTTCCCAAACAACTTCTATCTAGGCTTAATGCAAACTCAGTCACCTACATTTGATAATCTGGGTTAACTGTGTAGCAGAATATGACAAACAGTGAGAAAATTCAGAGTTACTCAAAACACCTCCAAAATGTCATCACTGACATAACTCACTGAGATAGCACTGCTTAAGAAATAACATTCCCAGCTCTGTTCCTTGGTACACTGATAAAGGAGTTAGAGTAAAATTAACTAGAGTGAGGTATTAATAAACACTATTTGGTAATGTTATCTCCTTACTTACAAATTCTTTTCAAGTGTATTGCAGGTGTCTGTAACAAAAATGATCAAAATACTTCTGCCAATTTTTCAATTACATTCCTGCCTGATCTCATTTTAAATAAAACATTACACTTAAAAAAAAAACCTCAGTTAACACTTTTATATTATATTGAACTAAATTCGAAGAATGGTTTTCTTTTACTAGCAACAAAATTTGAAAACTTCTTGTAAAGAAACGAGATGTGTATCAGGATTAGGGTATAACAGATTTGGCCTCATTTCTTCTGAAGCAAGTGAAAGATAACCATCTTGGAATACCATCAAATGATTTTACAACTCCTAATTTTGCTTTATTGGACATCTGATCCTTACATGCATCACTGGGCATTTTTAGTCATCTCTGGCTATAACATAAACATAAGGCAACAGAAAATAACCTTTTACCAGGTCTTCCTTGTAGCATTAAAAATATTGAGCTTACCATATTCCAGCCTGGGTAGAGGTAGTCAGTCCCAACAAATTCAAAATAGTGAGCAAAGCCTTCTTTCAGCCATACATCCTCCCACCAGACAGGAGTCACAAGGTCACCAAACCACTATGGGGTAAAAGCAATAATAATTATGTCACACCAAGAAAGCTCCAGAAACAGACATATAATAATTAAATTGGCTTAATAGTTGATTGAAACTGATGTAGTCCTCCCTTCCCTCCATTTACCAAGAAATGTAGAAACCTTCAACCACTGGAGAAAAAGATGGCGGATCACTGTGATTGCCTGAAGTACCCAGTTTGTATGGAGGGCAGCATATTATAGTGAAGAGAACACTTGACAGAAAGTTAAATGACACAGATTTTTATCTCTAGCTCTGCCATGCTCCTCTGGTGGGCAAGTCACTTAAATTTCCTGGAACTGATCCTAGTTTTTCATCTGCAAGATGAGGTAGTTGAGCTAGATAATCTGATGAACTCTCTAGTTATAAAATTAGAGTCAGAGAGTCACAACACAATATTTGTAAAATTCTTAACACAATGTCTAGCCCATAGTAAGTGCTTAAATGTTTCTTCCTTTCCACTTCATAAAATCAAGGATTTAGAGTTGGAAGGGGCCACTATACCACTGTATCAATATCTAATAATAATTACTCATATGTAGATTACTAAATACTATTTTTATAGTAATAGAAGTGTACAGCATGGAGGATCAAGTTTGGGCTTGGGATCAGAAAGCTCTAGGTTTATATTCGACCTCTGAAACCATGAGACCTTGGGCACATCACTTAACCCTGACGTGCCTTGAGCAACTCTCTATGACCTATCTCCTAAGACAGACTGCTTGTAATCAACACTGCTGGAGGGAGTTAACACACCAGAAGTTCTCCGTGCTGAAGAAATAACACAAACTTCATGTATTTTTCATGGCTCTCTGTTTAGAAGGTAGTATATTATAACCACGTCTCAGAAGAGGAAAATAAGGCTCAATACATAAAGTGATTTGACCAAGGAAGCATAACTACTAACTTAAAAACTCATGATTTGGGGGCAGTTAGGTGGTGCAGTGGATAGAGCACTGGCCCTGAAGTCAGGAGGACCTGAGTTCAAATCCGGCCTCAGACCAAACACTTGACACTTACTAGCTGTGTGACCTTGGGCAAGTCACTTAACCCCAATTGCCTGAAAGCAAAAAAAAAGTCATGATTTGAACTCAGGTCTCTTGTCTCCAAGTTCAATAACCATTCTGTAATACTATGAAGCAAAAGATTTGAGTACCTCTGCAATCATAGGCAATCATATGCTTACTTTATCACAGAAAGAAGAACATGGACAGACCCTGACAAATCAAAGTCAAAGGATTCTTTCAACCACATGATCAACCTTATAAGGGTCACTTCAAAAGGTAGATGATTGCTAGAGGATATCATAACATTGTCTATATTCATTTGTTATTAACACATGGGAATTAACAATTAGAGATTTTCTTTCCCATATTAACATCGGTCTTTATGTTTTCTCAGAAGTTGAATTCATTTGCATTTGGTCCAGATATGATCTATAGTCCTGATATAATCTATGATCTATTTTGAAATCCATCTTTCAAAAGGGTCCAGTCTCACAGAAGATGCAAGCTATATGGATGCCATACTTAAGATTTCTCTTCCTCTAAGCTAAGATTATGATTATTTGTTTTCAAAGCAAGGATAGACTGTCTTTACTAGCAAACTTCTTTTAGTATTCTTTTTAATAAAGTCTAAAATGGTATTGTAGATCATGTATTGGAATTAGCATAAGGAAGAGCTGGACTCAAATTCCATCTCTGACATTTAATAGCTGTGTGACCCTGAGCAAGTCAGGTAGCCCCTATGTGCCTCAAGCAATTTCCTAGGGTCTATAAAGTCCCAGAAGAATTTCTGATCTGGTTTGATAGAGCTTATTCCCATCCTGGGGGTCCTCCTTGCTGATTAAATCATATTAGTTTTTGTACATATCTATATCTCTATACTGTCATGTGCCTATAGATACACATGTATATTCATATATATATGAATATATCTATATCTCATGAATATATCTATATCTCTACTTCTAGAGACATGCATACATAAATATATCTCTAGAGAGATATATCTCTGTCTCTACAGAGATAGAAATAGTTAATATAAAAATAATTATATATGCATATGTATGTATGTATAATATAGTGATATCCTGTAACAATGATCTACCCTCTTACACTGACTTTTATAAGAAGAGTATGTGGTGCAAAAAGTCCTTTAACCTTGATTTTTCAAGGTTTGTCCATGTGCTTCTTTATATGATGCAACAAGTGTGACATCTCCTGTGATTATAGATACTCAAATCCTTTGCTTTATGGTATTGTTGAAGTCAAGAGATCTGAGTTCAATTACGACGTTATATTTACCATCTATGTAGCTTTGAGTAAATCATTTCATGTTTTTGAATCTCATTTTCCCCTTCTGCAATAATAATACATGTATGTATATATCTCTATAGAGACATAGCTTTCTATCTCTAAAGACATATAGAAATAGGTATGTATTCATATGTACACCTATGCAACTGGCTGCAACTAAACAATGAAGAATGCTTGTAATGAGATTTATCCAGGAGAATCAAAAATAAACATAAAGTAAATTTTATCAGAGATTTGCCATGATGTTTATTAATAAATGTTAGCATATTAGCAACGTAGCTTATTTCATGGACCTCTGCAGAGACTATGACCTCTCCACCACCAAAAAGTAAAAAAAAAAAAAACCCTATCATTTGTGAAGAGACAGTCCATGTCTGAGTAAGTGAAAGACTTCCTAAGTGGCTACGTGTTGGGAAAAAGGGAATAACAAATTGATTTCAGCAAGAGCAAATTTTGACACGCACCCAAAACTCAGCCTGCATCTTGCAGGCTTGCAATAAATCACTTCCGAGGCCTATCACTGTGCTTACCAAATATATACAGCAATCAGGATAATCAAAAGGAAGGAGAAGCAGGTTGGTAAAGAACAGAGATTGAACCTGGTCTCCAAGGAGGTGTCTGGGCAGGAGTGCCACTTTACTGTCTAAACAAAACTCAAGAAAGGCAGCTCGTTCATGCTATGTGATCAGAGCAATTTGCTGTATGCTTGTTTTGTGTTTGTAAAATCAGCCAAGAAAAGGGCACGTCTTCTAGTAAAACAACATAGTGCTTTGCATGTAATTAAAACAATTGATTTAATGAGATATTAGGTTGGCGCCTAATCAAAATACTTGATAAGTCATCTGTAGTTTTCATTCATTCTATACAGTGTACTTGCACTTAGCCCTCTCTTTTTTTCCCCTCATACCTGGTGGCATATCTCATGGACAATGACCATTGTGACATCCAGCAAATAGGAAATGGATGAAATACTGGGATCCAGGAGTACCCTTTGCTCCACAAAAACACTTAGTCCCCAGTTCTCCATAGCAGCATATGGATGCTTAGGCACAGCTAAAAGATCTAGAAATAGAAAGAGGGAGAAGAATTAGATATCTGTTTTCTAGAAATATCCAAGAATCATAACGAAAATGAATGATTGTTCTAAGCAGAATAGAATTATTCTAACACGTACCATGTCCATATGAGGGTAGGCACTTTGATCATTAAATATCAGTTGATTTCATTCATCAGAGTATACCTACATGTCTAAAGCCATAGGGACCTGGAAATACCAATTCTGTACCTGAAAGATCCATCTTAATAAATTTTAACAAATCAAGTCTTCCTTATGAAGCAACAATCCACAATGACAAATCTATAGCACCCAACAAAGAAAATAGATTCAGTTTACTTGGGAGATAGCTACGTTCTTCTTTCTTTCATAAAAAGGGCTTCACTTTTTTGTAATACCACAGATACATTTTAAGATGTATTTCTGATACATTTCTGTTCCTAGATATCTGACCTCTACTCCTGTCTATGGCAGGGAATACATTGTAATCTTGAATGTGTGAATAGCCTTTTATGTATCCTTCTGTCCTCTCAATGTATCCCAGAAGGGGGGGAACCTGCAGCCTCAAGGCCATATGTAGCCTTCTAGGTCCTTGGGTGTGGCCTTTTGACTGAGTCCAAGTTCTACAGAACAAATCTTTTTATTAAGGGGATTTGTTCCATGAAGTTTGGATTCAGTCAAAGGGCAGCACTTGAGGACTTACAGTGTTCCATGTGGCCTTGAGGCCACAGGATCCCCACCCCTGAGATTGTGTCTTCTCGATGCTTCCCTATCGTATAAAGGGGTTGGTCTAGATTATCACTAAAATGTATTCCAACTCTAAAACTGTATCCTTTTTGCTGTTTTTACAAAAGATTATATATCAGGTTTAATACTTATTCTCTCAACAGATATCTGTTGTTGTTTAGTCATGTCCAACTTTTCATGACTCCATTTGAGGTGCTGAAGTGGTTTGCCATTTCCTTCTCCAGCTCATTTTACAGATGAGGAACTGAGGTAAACAGGGTTAAATGACCTGCCCAGGGTCACACAGCTGGTAAGTGTCTGAGACCAGATTTGAACTCACAATGATGAGCCTTCCTGACTTCATGCCCGCCACTCTATACAATGCATGACCGAGCTGCCCATAACAAATATTTGGTGAACTTCCTATTCTCTTCAAGACACTGGGTCAGATCTTGAAAATAAAACAAAAATGTAAAGGATAGGGTCTCTGCTATCAAGAAGTTTGAACTCTAGTACAGGGGAGAAGACAAATAAATAAGCCATAAAACAAGGTAAAATAACTGTATTAAAAGAAACATAAACAAGTCAGGGATTGTGAGAGAAATATCATATTCCTTTGGAACAAATTAAAGAAGACTTCTTGAGGTGCATGTAACAGAGGAGGGTTGCTAGGCAGCACAGTGGATAGAGTGCCTCGTGTGGAGTCAGGAAGACTCATCTTCCTGAGTTCACACTTACTAGCTTTATGACCCTGAGCAAGTCACTTAATTACAAACCACTCCAGTATCTTTACCAACAAAACACAAAATGGGGCCACAAAGAGTTTAACACAACTCAACAACAACAACAAAAATGAAGAACAGATAAAAGTAGATTGTTATTGAAACTCTGTGCAAAAAAGAGGCATAGATATGGGCATCAGAATGAAATTGAATTTTTTTTAATATTACAAAGACAGAGCTAAGGGAACAAATGTTTAAAAACACTACCTCATTCAGCATTTGTAACATACAGAATGAGGAAGGCCACTGGACACAGATTTAGTACAGACAGTACAAAAGTAGATTCTAGATGAAGAATTTAGGATTTGGGAATTGTAATGGAGGAACAGTCAGGTGACAGAACACTGATGGAGGAAGGCAAATTTCTAGCACAGGTCATTGACTTTGGCCAAGAGGAAACAGTTAGTGACATGCTGTCAGTGGATGAAGTGATTAAGCTAATAGAATCAAAGTACCCAGGTACCCAATCAAACCATCCATGGACAGAGGAATAGGTATTGAGGCACAGAGCTACCCTAGAATGAAAATAATATCTTACACTTTGTGCCTCCTATGGACATAGTACAACACTGTTCTGCCCAAAGTAAGTGTTCAATAAATAACTATTGGTGATGATAAGTTTTGACGAGGGCTATATTGAGGACATATTGCATCCCTCAAGTAGACGTAAGGTTTTTTGATAGAAAGATGACTTCTTTTTTTCGTTTTTGGATCCCTGGTGCCTAGCACACTGTCTTATGCAAAGTAGGAGCTCAACAAAAGTGTGCTGAATTGCACTGTATTAAGCTTATTTTGCAGGAGTCATACATACTTGCTTTACAACACAGTGCATGAACATTTGGCCACATTGATTTAATTTAATGCAGTAAAAATGCAATTCAACTTCTGAGGAATTCAATCTCATGGAAAGAATGGACACTGTGTGCCATAACATCAACATCAAAAAAAGCAATCAACAAGTATTTATTAAGCATGTACTGTGTGCCAGGCTGGGGCAGGTAGGCGATACAGCGGATAGAGCATGAGGCTTGGAGTCAGGAAGATCTGAGTTCAAATGCAACCTCAGACACTTACCATCTGTGTGACCCTGGGCAAGTCACTTAACCCCTATTTGACTCAGGTCCCCATCTATAAAATGGGGGCACACCGGAGAAGGAAATGGCAAACCACTGTAGTTATATTTGCCAAGAAAAACCCATGGATAAGAGCCCCTGGGGTCATGTAGAGTCAGACATGATCAAATAATTGAACAACTACACATGCCAGGCACTGTGTACTTTCAACTTAGCTTTTCCCTGACTCATGCTATACCCCACAGTAGGGGTTTCAGACTTTGTGTTATGTGATGCACATAAAGTAAAGAAAAGTCAAAAACCAAAGAGGAAAAATATTTTTACATCAACTTCATATTTTTGAGATAAAATGAAGTAAGACAACAGTAAAGACATAGACCTCTGATTATAATGAATAATGTAACCTTTACTTTCAGGGGAAAGTGCATGTAATAACTATTTTTTCTCTGAACATTTAAAGAGCAAACACTGAAAAACATTAGCACTATCTAGACAAACATCAAATGCCTAGATTTGAGCTTCATTTTGTTGTAATCATCTCAAAGGCCACGAAATCACTACATATGTTATGACACATTAAATATGCATATATAAAACTGAGTCAGACATTACTAATACCTAAGTTATATTAAGCTTTATTTTATGTAATGATAATAGAAGAAACGTTACTGACCCAAGGAATAGGTAAATTTGTATAATACTAAGCTTACCTGTATTTGGATTCTTTATCACCCTCTAAACAAAAAATTAAAATTTATACATACATATATACATATACACACATACATTATACATAACACAAATATAACATGTATACTTACACAGCAATGTACAAAGTAAAAAATTGTATTTCTCTTGTTTTAAATTTTCTTTTTTCCCTTCTTAAGAGTAAATACCATTTTTTTCCTTCTTTGGAGTGAGATTTAGGGGTGGGGATACATTAAGTATGTAAAGGAGGAGATAGGGTAGAGAAATAAATCACAACCTCTGTGTAAGCATGTGTGTGTGTGTGTGTGTGTGTGTGTATGTGAGAGTGTGTGTTCTCAGCAATAATTCATTCTTTTCTTGCTATTTATTATAAGCTTTTCTAATCTGGGCATTAATACATCTCTTTTCCTGACACTCCCACTATCAGTTACCACATTTATCAAGAAATAATTTGATATCAAATTTGGTCAGCTCCTTCTAGCTTATTTGAACTAGTACTAGTTTTTATTTTGGATTTTTAATCATTCCACTGTGCCTTCTCCCCAATTTTATCATCTTCAATAAAATATTTAGATTTACATAGAAGCTAGTATCAGGATAGATGACAAACTCAAAAGGAATATTAAATGGAATTTTAAAGTCTATATCAAAAATAATGTTGCTGCTTATTATCAAATCCTACCCATCCTTCAAAGATCAGTTCAAAGGACACCTCTTCCACTATACCTCCCCTGATTTCTCTATCTTCTTAATCCTCATAGTATTTAGTATTCTGTAGGTATTGTCTATATTTCCCCCTAGATAACATAAAATACATAATATAAATATGATATGCACTTTTAGATTAACTTCCATATCAGGAAATCACAGAGCCACAAAATCCCTGGAGAAGCATAAGACTTTTCCTTATCTCCCAATAAACACTTTCAGGTTGCACCAAATGGATATGATTCCTCTGGAATTGAGGCTGACATGCTAGCTATATCCATGTATATGAAGGGCTTTGCTATAAAGAGGAAGGGGGACTAGAACTTCTTTTGCTTGGCCCAAGAGTATGGTTGCAGAGGTAGTCTTGATGGGAGGAGGAAACTCTTCAACATAATCAGTCCCCAAAAGTGGAAAGGGTTGCTTTTGCAGGCAGTAGGTAATCCACTATTTGAGCTCTTCCACCAGAGGCTAGATTAATACCCACCACAAATGTAACAGGAAATCCTACTACTGTACTATCCGTGTGACATTGATAAGTAAAGTCATTTGCCCTTTGGGGAGCTTCATATTTTCCTCTGTAAAATCACAAAGTCAGACTATTAGATAGAAAGTGACATCATAGATCACAAAGTCATAGCTCTAGAGATGGAAGGAAAATTAGTCCAACCCCCACATTTTACAGATGAGGAAACTGAAACCCAAAGATTTAAAGTAACCTCTCCAAGGTCCTACAAAACTGGGATTTGAGTGCAGATTTCTCTAATATTCCTTTCAGCTCTAATACGTGACCCTATGGTCAGACAGAGATGAGAATACAGTATATAACCTCTGAGTTGCTTTCAAATTCAGAGTATTTATTTATGTAATCTAGGGGGAAATAAAACAAGTACACAGCTAACCATATCAAATAATACAATAAACACAGAAGAGAGAGTGAGAAAAGAGATGCTCTTATACAAAGGGGATGAAGGATAGAACAAAAATTTTATGGAAAAGGTGAAATCTTACTTG